CTAAAACTCAAAAAAAGTAGTGTGGCTGAGGATGGCACTCAATTACATCAGCACCATTGTTTCTGTCTAAACTCCCTTAGAGTGCATGAACCCAAAGATGTAGTAGTTATTGGCCTTAACTGGCTTGTTACGTGTGTGACTCTAAAACAGCTGGGATAAGTGGGTTACGGCGTAGTTAGGCCTCAGACTACCTTGTCCATTTTTCATGTTGATATAAGGACACTGAATATCTAGAATGGAAAAATGTTTTCACATTTGGATTCATTTGCTCCTACATGTAGTCCTCCGTTTTCAGTCACTGCATGGCACCCTTCAGCTTTCATTGTGTACATTCATGTACATGGACTGTGTCATGTAAAGGCAGTTTCATACATGTATATATTGGATGTTGAGCATATTCCCTTGCACCCCTCTCACCTCCCCTTTGGGCCCCTCTTTGTTCTCAGTCTTCTCTGTTCCACTGCAGGTCCCCTTTTACCTTCATGTAATATATACATACGTGATTTTATGCCTCTGCATAAAACCTAGGAACCACAAAAACAATTGTTCATCTGAAACTGGCTTCGTCTGCTAAAGGTTATTTCCAGGTGCATCCATTTTCTTGAAAATGCCATAGCTCGATTCTTCTTTACAGCTGTGTATATAAACGCTTTCTGATCCCACACCATCATGGACACCTACATTTGTTCATAACTTAGCTACTGTGAACAATGCTGCAATAAACATTGACCAAGAGTGGTATATATTTTTAGTTTTTTCAAAAATCTCCATAGTGATTTCTATAGTGGCTGAACTGTGTACATTCCCACCAGTGGTATGTAAGAGTTCCCTTTTTTCTACATCCTTGCCAGCATCTGGTTTGGTTTGGTTTGGTTTGTTTGCTCATTCGGCAGTACTGGAGATTGACCCTAGGGCCTCATGATTGAAAGGCAAACACTCCACCACTCTACCACTGAGCTTCAGCCCAAACCCTTGTTATGTTTTCTTAAACATAAACATCATTCTGATGAGGGTGGAATGGATTCTTAACACAGTTTTACTTTGCATTTCTCTGATTTCTTGTGAAGTTGAATATTTGTTGGTATGTTTATTGCCATTTGTACTTATCTTTTGAGAACTGTCCATTTCATCAGCCATTTACTGATTGGGTTGTTTGATTTTAAGTTCTTTATATATTCTAGACACTAACCCTCTGTCATATATAGTTAGCAAAGATTTTCTCCCATTATGTAAACTGTCTCTTCCTTTTATTAACTGTTTCCTTTGCTATAAAAAGCTTTTAATTAGCGCATGCCTTTAATCCCAGCACTCAGGAGGCAGAGGCAGGCAGATCTCTGTGAGTTCAAGGCCAGCCTGGTCTACATAGTGAGTTCCAGGACAGCTTGGGCTACAGGGAGATCCTGTCTCAAAAAGACCAAAAAAATAAAAAACAAACTTTCAATTTCATGAGGTCCATTTGTCCCAGTTGTTGGCATTATTTCCTGAGTGGCCAGAGTCTTATTTAGACTATGTTCTTACCTATGCCTATATTTTTTTCCCTCAACATCTTAGAACATTTGATCCATTTGAGGTTGATTTTCAAACAGGGTAAAAGATAAAGATCTAGTTCATTTTGCTAAATGTGGAAATTCAGTTTTCCCAGTACCATTTATTGACAAGCTACCTTTTCTCTAATGTAGGTTTTAGGTATCTTTGTCAAAAATAAGAAGGTTGTAGCTTCATTGTTTTATGTGTGGGTCCTCTATTATATTCCTTTGGTCTATGTCTGTTTTGTACCAGTACTACTTTCGTAATGTAGGTAGAACTTGAAGTCATGTATAGTAATATATCCAGTATTATTGTTGCTGTGTCACATTTGCTATCCAGGGTCTTTTGTGCTTTCATATGAATTAAAAGTGTATTGTCTGCATGTATATGAGTGCACCCGTGTCATGCAATGCCACGGAGGTCAGAAGAGGGCTTCGGATTCCCCTGAAACTGGAGTTAAGGACGGTTTGTAGCCGCCATGTGGGTGCTGGGAATCGAACCCAGGTCCTCTGCAAGAGCCATCAGTGCTCTTAACTGCTGAGCCATCTCTCCAGCCCCAAACTTGTATATATTTCTGTGAAGAATGGCATTGGAATTTTGGTGGGGATTATTGCATTGAATCTGTAGATTGCTTGACAGTATAGTCATTTTCACAATATTTATTCTTCCAATCCATGAACAGTGTCTTCAGTTTCTTCAATTTTTAAAAATGTTGTGTGTGCTTGTCTGTGCACATATGTGCTTGTCTGTGCACATATGTGCAGGTGCACATGCCTCTTGTGCATGCATGGAGGCCAGAAGAGGGCATTGGACCCCTTGGATCTAGAGTTACAGGTGTTTGTGGAATGCATAGTTTGTTATGTGGGTTCTGGGATCTGAACTCTAGTCCTCATGATTGTTCAGTGGACTCACCTTTGACCACTGAGTCATCTCTCCAGCCTCTCTTCTGTTTGGAACAGTGTCACTCAGGCTGTTCTCAAACTCACTAAGTAGCTGAAGATGACTTTGAACTTCATTTTCTATGTGTGCATACATTTTTCCTGTGTGCACATGTGTGTGAAGGGCAGCAATCAACATTGAGTATCTTCCTCAATTGCTCTCCACCTTATTTTTTGAGACAGAGTCTCTCACTGAACCTGGAGTTCAATGATAGGCAGGAATGTCTGGCCAGCAAGCTCCAAAGCTCTTCCTGTCTCTGCTTCCCCAGTACAGGGATTACAAGTGTGTGCCACCACACCCAGTTTTTTATGTGGATATTGGGTACTAAATTTGGAACCTCATGCTTGCATGGCAAGCACCTTACCAACAGCCATTTCCCTATCCCCTGACCTTGAACTTCTGATATTCTTGCCTCCACTGACAGAGTAATGAGATTACAGTCTTGCACCAGTACATGTGGTTTATGTGATGCCGGGGGTCAAACCCAGGGCTTCGTGCATGCTAGGCAAGCACTCTTCCAACTGAGCTACCTGCTTTCCCCTCAGCCATTTTAAATTTTATATTGTAGGGGCTAGAGAGATGGCTCAGTGGTTAAGAGCATTGACTGCTCTTGAAGTAGACTGGGATTTGGTTCCCAGCACCTACATGGCAGCTAACAACTATCTGTATTTATCTGGTCTCCCTGATTAAAAAAAAAAAAAGTTTTGTTATTTGTGAATATATGCCTATGATGTGTGTGTGAATGCAGGAACACACGTGCCATGGCACATTATGTGGAGATCAGAGGACAACTTTCAGGAGTCAGCTTTTTCCTTTCACTATGGATTCTGGGGACTAAACTCAGGTTGTCAGGCTTGTGTCCATTTATGTGATGATTAAAAAGCAAGCATTTTTATCCTCTAAGCCATCTCACTGGCTCTACATCTGTTTTGGTTTTGTTTGCTGTTGTTTTTAATGTAGGCACCTGTAAGTATAAATTTCCCTCATAGGACTGTTTCCATTTTATGGTATGTTGTTTTCATTTTCATTAGATTCTAGGAAGGTTGTTTGTTTTGTTTTGTTTTCTTAATTTCTTCAGTGACAAATTCAGCATTCAGGTTAAGAGCACCTGCTGCTCTTCCAGAGGACCCCAGTTCAATTCCTAGCACCTACGCCAGAGGGTAGGCAGCTCACAACAGATACAGGGGAGAAATAGTTCCATTCTAGGGTCCTTAATCTCATTCATTTTATTAGAATTTAAGGAAAGATCCTCAGGACAGGCAAGCTATAAATCTCAGCAGCTGCCTTGAGGAGAATGGAAGGGAGAAGAAAAAGCCACCCTGAAGCCATACCAATTTGGAGCCAGCTAGGAAATCAGACACTGGCTGGCAGCCAAATGGTGAGGAAGGGAGCTTTAGAAAGTAAATCCAAGATGATGGGGCAGCCCAAAGTGTTAGGGAACACATAAGAAAAGGAATAGGAAGAGGAAAATGAGAGGTTACACTTTTTCTGATTCAGAAAGCCCATGCCAATGACTGGCCATGTCAGTCCACAAGAACTGCACCAAGAGGTGGGATTCCCGGAAGGAAATGTTCACGTTCCCACTAACCCACCAGGTATTCCATCCATATTTTTAGCATAATTTAAGGTGAACCTGCCCTCCTGGGGGTGGGTCCATGTCCAGGGGATCTGGCAAAACTGAAGAGTTGGGTCTACCGGCCAGAGAGTCTTATATTCTTAAGCAGTGTTGAGGGATTTTCTGCCACCATAACACAACCTCCTTTGACTCCAGCTCCAGGGGACCCCACGGCTCTGGCCTCCTCGGGCTCCTGTACTCATACGCACATACCCACACACAGACACATAATCAGAAATATAAAATATTTTAAAAATCTTTTTAGAAGAATGAGAAATTGAAACCAAGAGAATTGCAGGTGTTAGAATAGCATCTTTTAAGCTCTAATAACTCAGTTGTTTTTCCACTATTATTTCAGTCAAAAAATCCAAAAACCTCTGCTTTTTTTCTCCAACTTTTTTTTTAAAACAAGGGCTCCATAAACACGTAAAGTTGCACTATCGTTTTCTAGCTCTGTTTTGTCACTTGAACTTTGACATTAATGGGGGCGGAGTTCTTCCCCTCCTACATAGCATCCGCAAAAATGGGAATTTTAAGCTGTGTCCACAGAAGTTTAAAAACCTAACATTTATACAGCACACTGATACACAATGCCAAAAATGTTGCTAGTTGCACTAACTTTGAACTTTGCCAACCTTCAGCTGCAGATCCCAGGAGCAGATAAAAGTATAAACGAGTACTCAGCCTATTCTTCCTGTATTGCGTTCCAAACTACAGACACCTAGGTAAACAACCTAGGTTATATGGTGAGCGTAAACAGTGTCACCAGCTTCCGGGGGGAAAACGAGGTGCGGCAACTCAAAAGGACCAAAGACCCCAGTACCGGGTGAGAAGCCGCCCTGCGCTCTTCTCGCGAGAGGAAAGTTTTCCAAGACACGTCGCCCTAGAGATCCATGCGCAGAGCGCCTGGCGCAGGAACCAATGGATGGGAACTTCCGCCGGAAGAGCCGGCGGTCTTGGAGCTGCGGGTCAACTTCCGGCTGGTGTTGGGCCTGGGTAACTTGCGGTGCAGCTGTGGCCTGGTGGAGATGGCGTGCGCCGCCGCGCGGTCCCCGGCGGACCAGGACAGGTGGGTCCTCAGGAGGGTGGCTGGGGCGCCGCCATCGCGGACCTCAGCTTCCAAGCTCCGCCCCCCTCGGGAACTCTTGACAGGCTGTTGTGTCACAGTAACAGTTGCCGCATTATTTTGTTTCAGTCTTGCTTTGGGTTTTGGTCTTTTTAAGGCAGGGTCTCCCTGTAGCCCCAGCTGGCCTGGAACTCACTATGTAGACCAGGCTGGCCTCGATCTCAGAGATCCGCCTGCCTCTGCCTCCCTAGCGCTTGGGAGTAGCCAAGCCCAGCCATCTTTTTAAAAACATTTAGAGTGTATGTGTTTGTGTGGGGGGTACATACATACATATATGTGCATATGCACATGTATGTGGAGGTAGGTGCTCGCAGAGGCTAGCAGAGGGCATTGGATCCCCTAGAACTGGAGTTGTGAGCTGCCAGACCCTTTGTAAGAGCAGCAGGCACTCTGAACCACCAACCAGCCCCTTAGTTTTTTTGTTTGTTTTGCAGTGCTGAGTATTGAGCACAGGTCCTCCCTCAAACTAAGATCAGTTGGGGGAATTTTGTCACCTTTGCTTTGAGACAGGGTCTCCCTGTATCTCCAGCTGGCCTGTAACTTACTGTGTAGACAGGCTCCTCCTGCCTCTCCCTCCCAAATGATGGGATTAAATTTTCCTGTCATTTTAAAATCTACTAGGGGCTGTATCATCAGAGGTCTCGGGAGTAGTATCCTTTTTAAGTGAGTTAAGTAAAATTGAGGTGAGGCGATACAAGGAACAACTGTTGAGTGATTAGCAGTAGTAGATGTGCCTGCAGTGGTGATGACACTGTTTAAATACCACTCCAGTTATGCTTTTTCTGTGGCAGGTTTATCTGTATCTATCCTGCTTATTTAAACAATAAGAAGACCATCGCAGAGGGGAGGCGGATTCCCATAAGCAAGGTGAGTGCCTTCCCTAGGCTCCAGAGGTAATGGCCACAACTGCTCCTCCTACTTCACTACTTTCCTTTGGGATCCTAACAGCAGCCAAGATTTTTTTTTTTTTAAAGTATGTGTATGTGTATGTGTGGAGGGGAGGGGAGGGAGTATGTGAATGTGAGGGCAGGTACATGTGGAAGCCAGACCTGTTGAATTCCCCTGGCATTTGTGAGCTGCCTGAAGTGATTACTAGTAATTGAACTTGGGTCCTCTGGAAGAGCAGTATGTGCTCTTAACTGCTGAGCCGTCTCTCCAGCCCACCTCCAGCCCCGTTGAATGTAGTTTAATTCTAGTTGTTCTACAGGAAGAGTTTCTCACCAGCAGCACCACTGACATTTTAATTGATTGATTTTCATTTGTGTCCATGTGTATGTCTGCGGGTGGGAATGTGCACGTGAGTTCGGGTACCTGCAGAGGCCAGAAAAGAACATCAGATCCCCTGGAGCTGGAGTTACAGGTGGTTGTTAGCCACCCCACATGGGTGCTAGGAATGAATTCTGGTCCTCTGCAAGAGCAGTATTGGCTCTTAACTGCTAGCCATCTCTCTAACTCCCATTGACATTTGAGTCAGATAATTCTTTGTTGTGAGAGACTGTCCTGTGCATTTTAAGATGTGTAACAACTTCCCTGGCTTCTCTGTGCTAGATAACAGTTTCCTTTCTTCTTTAGTTGTCTTGAAGCAAAACTGTCTTCAAATATTCTCTAGGGGAGGGAGATGTAAATTTCCCCTGCTAAGAAGTACTGTTTTTCACAGTACAGTATCACATTGTTTGAATAAACCACTCACTTTTCTTCTGTTGATGGATAATTGGGTTTTCTAGTTTGAGGCTATTATAAATAGTGCTATTATGAACAGGCTTGAGCTCATCTTTTGGGGAACATATTTTTGTATTTCTGTTGTATATACCTAAATTGTAGAGCCATAGCGAATCATATGCTCAACTTTAGTAGATATAATCAATATTCTAAAGTGATTGCATAGTAAACATTTAACCAGTCAGTTTGCATTGACCACCTACTCTGTTCAAAATACTATGTTAGGTGCTAGGGAATATATTGTCCAAGTCCTTTTCCTCATAAAAGTTTGTGTTCTATTGGAAGAAAGGTTAGCACACAGGTATGTATCACTGTTATTCCTAGAGCTTTTTAAATTACAATAGAAACAACTGTACAAAGTAAAAAAGGAAACTAGGGTTTAATCTGTGTTTTGATCATAGTATTTGAAATGATTTATACAAGCAAATAGCTGTATCTACTTAAACTCAGCTATTGATTGTTTCTCTTTTTAACTATTCAGGCTGTTGAAAATCCTACAGCTACAGAGATTCAAGATGTATGCATGGCAGTTGGACTGAATGCATTTCTTGAGGTATGATATGATTCTTTCTTCACTTGTTCCATAATAACAATAATAATAATATCTCGTTGTAATAAATTTCTGAAAGGCTGTTTTTGTTTTATTTGTGTTAGAAAAATAAAATGTATTCCAGAGAATGGAATCGAGATGTTCAGTACAGAGGCAGAGTCCGGGTACAGCTCAAACAGGATGATGGCAGCCTGTGTCTTGTACAGTTCCCATCACGTAAGCTTTTTTAAATTAATATATAAAATTCAAGGATAGGTTATTCCCATACAACATTTCTTTTTTAAAAAGTTCCAAAACTGGCCTTTCAAGGGATATAAATAGTATGCATTTGTAATCATGGCACCAGGAAAGCCGAGGCAGGAGGATTGCCAGAAGTTCAAAGTGCACCTGGGCTACATAACAAGCACCCATCTCAAAAGCAAAACAAAAGGTCTAAATAAATTTGCATCCTACAGATTAACTTAGAGAAAGGATTACTGTTGACAGAGATAACAGTGGCTCTGTTTTATTTAGGTTAAGAGCTTATATAATGAAGCTTACTGTTTCTCAAAACAAATTGTTCCGTAAACGTTTTATAAACCTCAGTAAGGCCATAATTACTTTTGGGTTAAGAGTGTAACATTAAATGGGTAAATATTAATTGCAATTTCAGATCCTAGAGACCTTTGAGGACTCTTCATGATGTCTTTCATTAATAAATCTAAATGGACAGGCCTGGTGGTACAAGCTCGTAATCTCAGCTTCTTGGGAAGCTAAGGCAGAAAGACTGTCAAGTTCAAGGCCTGCCTGGGATATAGAGTGAGCTCAAGGCCAATCTGAGCAATGTAGCAACCTTGTCTCAAAAAGTAAAAAGGTTGGGGATGCAACTCAGTTAAGAACACTTGGGTAACTTGTATGGGGCCCTGGGTTCAATCCCAGGACTGCAAAACAAAAAAATAAGCCTAAGAGCAATAGTGAATGAAAAAAGCCAAAATAGTCATAGTGTGGTACCACTCGTGTAAACTTAAAAATAAATATTGATACTTTTATTGACAAACATATGTAATATTGTTTATTGATAGAAATGCTTTTGAAATGAACTGGAAGGTGAAGCACTCCCTTTTAGGCAGTAGTTAACTAATGGTGAGTAGTACAATAGGGGATGGAGACAGACTAGCACTGTAATTGTCTTACTCGATTCAGATAGATTGGTTTTTATATACCAAATGCTATCTGGTATTGCCAGAAACAAGATTCCGACTCAAGAATGGCAAATAGGGCTGGGAAAGTGGCTCAGTGGTAGGTACCTGCCAGGTATACACAAGGCCCTGGATTCTCATCTTAGCACCACACGTGCATGCATGCCCACAAACACAAGAATATTTCTGGTTTGTGTTTTTCTCCTATTATTTTCCCATACTGTCACAGCCAAAAACAGACACACAAAAAGATTGAAGAAATGTTAAAAATTGTTGCAAAGAAAATACTTCTATCTCTAATAAGACAGCAAACAGACTGGGCATGGTGGCACATGCCTTTCATCTCAGAACTTCAGAGGCTGGAAGTTTAATTCTGTGAGTTTGAGGCCAGCCTGGCTTATATAGAGTTCCAGGCTACCCATTGATACATAGTGAGAGCTTTAAAAAGACAGGAAACGGCAAAGCTATAAAGCTTGGTGTGCTGGAATAAGGAAGGTAGCTTGTGGTTGGACAGAGCAGGGATATGCGTTTGTTTGTAAGATCTGGACATAGGAGTAAGGCGGCTGTCGCTTAATGATGTTTAGATTTCCAGGCTTCTCTAATTCTGTTTTTAATTTGATGTTTAGATATAATCTCTTTACTCGTCAAGCCAATTACAAGGGCCAAGACCAGAAGTTTTTGAGACAGGGTCTCACTAGCCCTGGCTAGCCTGGAACTTGGTATTATAGACCAGGCTAACCTGAAGCTCACAGAGATTCACCTGCCTCTGCCCCTGAGTGCTGGTATTAAGGTTATGTGCCACCACACCAGCCTAAGATCAGAATTCTTGTTTCAGTGTTTTACATTTGATTTTTTTCATTTATGTATCTTCAGCATTGTTCACACTCTCAGTACATTCTCTTCAAGAGGCACCCCCTTGAGCGGCCCCTGTCCTCATAGTCATCTGATTTTTAAAGTCACTGCTCATTTTCTTGATGTGATAGCTTCTTAAACCTGATGATGTTCAAGTTAATAACATCTAATGTTTTAGATTATTGCACTAACCTAACTTCTGGTCCTAGGTAAGTCAGTAATGCTGTATGCAGCCGAAATGATTCCCAAACTAAAAACAAGGACACAAAAAACAGGAGGCACTGACACAAGTCTTCAGCAAGGAGAGGGGAGTAAAAAAGGGAAAGGCAAGAAGAAGAAGTGATGTGCGAGCGTGACGTGACGCACGGTCCTACTGAGGGACATGGGTGGAGGTGCCTCGTGTCCAAGGGAAGCAGCATTTTGTTTGCGTCATTTAACTGAACTGTGAACACTTGTGGCACCTATCTCCAACATCAGCATTCACAGTGAATTAAGTTTACATCAGAAGTTTGCATCCAGCTTGTATACAGTATAAAGGAAAGAGGTGTGTGTCGGGAAGAAAGAGTATTTTTTAATGCATAATGACTTTCTCATATGTGACTTGAAAATCCTGTATCTGTCCTCTGTGTAAACATATATTTCAGGTGAATAAGTTTAGTAAGACTTGAAATACACATTTTGTTCACCTTTTAAGTTAGTGAAATAAAATTTTAAACTGACTTCTGTAGCTTTTACTTACGAAACACGCCAGTAGGCTGAGGGAACACCTTTAATCCCAGTACCCAGGAAGCAGGGGCAGGTGGATCTTTAAGTTTGAGGCCAGCCTGGTCTACATAGCAAGTTCCAGGCCAGCCAGGGCTACATAGCGAGACCCTGTCTTAAAAAAATAAAATACCAGGGGCTGGAGAGATGGCTCAGTGGTTAAGAACACTGATTGTTCTTTCAGAAGACCTGGGTTGGAATCCCAGCACCCACATGGCAATTAACAAGTGTCTGAAACTCCAGTTCCAGGGAATCCGACAACCTCTTCTGCCCTCACGGGCATTGCACGACACAGGTGCACTTACCTACATGCAGGCAATATACACACACACATAAAATAAAAATAGTTAAAAAATACCAGTAGAGATTATTAATGTGAATAAAATTGGTAGTTCAAAGTGGAACCATGTGAGCTAGGTCTTTTTGAGACAGGGTCTCCCTGTAGGCTCAGCTGGCCTGCAACTTACTATGTAGACCAGGCTGGCCTTCAACTCATAAAGATCCACCTGCCTCTGCCTCCCAAGTACTGGGATTAAAGGCATGCACCACCACACCCATCTAAATTTGATTATTTTGTAGCTTTGTGAACATGGTGTCTGGACTAGTGAGATGGCAAAGTGCTTGCTACACCAGCATGAAGAGTTCAGATTCCCAGGTCCCAAGGAAGAGCCAGCTGTAGAGGTAGGTGCACAGCTGCAACCTGAACACTTGGTGGGTGGGGAAAAGGCAGGTCCCAGAGGGCAGCTGGCCAGCCAGTCTAGCTAAAACCATTTGAGTGCCAAGTTCAATGAGAGACCCCATCTCATAAAGTAAGGTAGAAAACGAGAGGAAGACACTCGATGTCAACCTCCACACGTGCAAACGCACATACTTGACCACACACATGTCCAAGCCAGTAGAATGTCACATCATGTAGGATGCTATCATGTAGCACTGGAGAGGGAGAGGCCAGCTGAGAAGCCAGGATGACAGACTACTGAGAAACTGTCTCAAAACAAAAAGATACTGTTCCCACTGGAATTCTAAAAATGACCTTTGCTTTAGCATTTCCAAGTGCACTTTCTTTGAAGAAACTAACTCGGAAAGATTCTTCTGAATTCATTGCAAAGCACTTCCTAGAAGTGATTTTGAGCTACTGTAGATCACTATCCTCTGGACACATCAGTCATTGTCCTCTTGAACTCTTAGCAGTTGTGTTTGCTAGCAGGAGACTTACACCAGAATGGGCCCATTAGCTCCGTTAGCTTTCAGCCATACTGGCCCTCCCCTTCCTAAAGATAGACAGTTGCTGGGGGTTGAAGGAAGAGCAATGCTCCTCAGTCAATCATAAGTTGCCCATGCTCCTGCAAGTAAACCTAACTCAACTCATTAGCTCACCAAGCTAAGCTTGAGTGGAATCATTTCTTTGGTCTGTTGTTGCTGCCCTGTCTACAGGAATAGATATTTGTTCATCTTCCAGGAAACTTCACATAACACTTGCTGACTGAAGTAGGGCAGGGCAGAACCAAGCATGAGTTTAGGAGTTGCCTTGTTCGTGCTGTGAGTGATGAGCCATGCAACTGAAGCTAAGATGCCCAAAGGTGGAGTGTCCAGAGGGTGCATCCCAAGATGCAGTAGAAGTTAACACTACCCATGCTCTAAGTGAAAGGCATGCAACTAAGGTGACCTCCATAAAGGTGCAGTGTCCTGGGAAAGAGTGGCCGTCATCTTTGTGGTATTAAGTGGAAAGCCTCCTTGATGCATTGGGCCCACCAGGTAAGTATAAGCATGCCCCAAAATGGCTGATGGCTAAAGCATATATTACAGGGCCTAGAGAGAGAGTTCAGTGGTTAAGAGTACTTGCTGCTCTTGCAGAGGACCAGGTTTTGGTTCCTGGCACCCACAAGGTGGCTCACAACCACCCATAAGTCCAGTTCCATGGGATCTAACACCTTCTGGCCTCTGCAAGGAACCAGGCATGGACATGGTATGTACACACATCTTTCTTTAAAATCCTGGCGTGCCCCCCTCCATCTGCCTTGGGCTGCCTTCGTGCTGCCACAGAGCTCCCTACTAGCCTAACAAGTGCACCTCTCACCACTCATGAAAGAAGCTGCTTTTTGCAATAGATGGAGACTATTAACAGTTTCACAGCTGGTCAAAAGCAACATGTAGGAAACATCATCTGAACATTGTGCCTTGAACTGGTCAAATTCAGAAAGGCTATTTGGGGACAAGGTCTCTTACAGCCCAAGTTGGCCAGGAACAGGCTGAGGATGACCTTGAACTGACAGTCCTTCCACTTCTGGAGGGCCTGCATGGCACCAACCTGGTGTATGTGGTGTTGGGGATCAAGCCCAGGCCTAAAGCATACTAGCCCAGCACGCTACCAAATGAAGTATATCCCCAGGACAAAAGACTTTAAAAAAAAAAATGTATTACTCTGTGTAGATGTGTGGGCGGGTGCACATGTGCCACCATACACATGTGGAGGTCAGATGGACAACTTTGCCAGAGTGAGTTCTCTGCTTCCACTATGTGGATCCAGGGATCAAACTTATATCACAGGCTTGGTGGCAAGTGCCTTTACTCACTGAGCCATCTCTGTGGCCCAAGACTTAGGTAGAAAGTCTATCCCAGCATGGCTCACAAGTCTATGGGACCTGGGCACAGACAGATAAGATCTATCTGCGTGCTGTGGAAGCAGATTAACAACGGCTGTAACTACCCATCTGTATTAGTTACTATCTTGTTGCAACAACATCCCTGACAAGAGCAGCTTGTAGAAGGAACGGTTGACTGTGTCTCAGAGGATACAATCCATCCTGGTTGGGAAATCATGTCAGCAGAAGCTTGAGGCAGCTAGTCACATTGATTGGCAGCCAGGAAGTAAAGACTGTTGATTGATTGTGTTGAGCTCACTTTTTATTTAGCTCAGTACCCCAGCCAACGAGATGGTGCCACCCACAGTTAAGGTGGGTCTTCCCACCTTAATTAACCTAATCTAGATACTTCCTCACAGACATGGCAAAGACTTGTCTCCTTGGTGACTCTAGTTTCTATCAAGTTGATATGAACCATCATACTCTCGTTCCTTAAGACAAAGGCTGCATAATCTGAGGCAATATATGAAAAACCAGTCCCTGATGGACTAGCTCATATGAGCCATTAGAAGAGACACTTGGTTTATAATGCACCGAGGTCCCTATCAGTATCAGGGATGGAGGACAACAGAGAAAGGACAGGCATTACTGAGAAAACTGGGCATGTGAGAGGCAGTGTTTGATGCCCAGGTCACAGGACTGTGTAGGAGTGTGCTCACAAGAGAGTAAAGAATTAGGGCTGGAGAGATGACTCAGTAGTTAAAAGCACTGGCTACTCTTGCAGAGGGCCCAAATTCAGTTCCCAGCACCCACATGGCAGCTAACAACCATCTTTAACTCCAGTTCCAGGGGATCCAACACCACCTTCTGGCCTTTGTGGGCAATGAATGACATGGATACATTAACATACATATAGGCAAAACACTCATTAAAAAAAAAATTGTTTTTGGTCTTTTTGAGACAGGGTCTCCCTGTAGCCCAGGTGGCCTGGAATGCACTATGTAGACCAGACTGGCCTTGAACTCAGAGATCTGCCTGCCTCTGCCTCCTGAGTGCTGAGATTAAAGGTGTGTGCCACCACACCTGGTGAAATTTTTAAAAAATTAAAATGAGGTTGATTGAGCAGGGGCTTCAGGACTGGAATGGAGCTTTAGTGGCTCTACTGGGCCCCTCAGTGGGATATGATCTTCAGGAGGTAGGAGAGGCTCCATCAGAGCTGAATGATTTAGACTGGCATGTAAACTTAATTCATAAAGCACTAAAATCAAGAGGGGTAAGAATAAGAGAAAGGAGCCTGCCTGAGTTCCTTGAAAGCAAATGTGGCAAGATATGTGTCACATATGTGTGTTCACAGAGTAGAGTTCCTAGGAAAAAAACGCAGACACCAAATTCAGTGCTGTGAATCTTAGGAAGGCTTTAAAACCTGGGTAAAAAAGGTATAAATACTAGAGCAGTGCAGGGGAAAAGAGGACTAAGCCAGAGGGGAGCAGTTATTCCCCCAGAGGAAGCTGAGGACATTTATCTTTCTCAAGAAAGTATACTGGGGTGGAAATTGTTTGCCCGACCTAGGGCTCTCTCAGCAGCAAGCTGCAGCCCCAGAAACTGTCAGGCCCAGGGAACATTTGTGGGCAGAGCACCTACAAACAGCCATGCTTCAGTCCTGTTCAGTCAGAGCCACCCCGGGCCCCACTGGGCCTGCTGGAGCTGGGCTAGGCCTGGCCACCCTGTGGCAGTACCCAAGATGAGGCAGCAGGATGGTTCATAGATACCGTGATAGAATCTTTTCCATGCTCTATTGGACCTTGCTCACGTTTTCCTTTTATGTTTTTCTGAGCTGCTGAGTCCCTAGATCAACTGGCACTTGCTTGGAATGATGGATGGTGGGCTTTCACTGACCCTGCACATGCTTATGCCTAGCTTTGTTTCAGTGTGTGGCACTGTTCTGGTTCATTTCTCCATTACTGTGGCAAAACACGCTGATCAATACCAACTTGGGGAGGAAAGGGTTTATTTGGTTTATACCTCCTGGGTCACAGTTCATCAGGGAGCTCAAGGTAGGAACTCAGGGCAGGAACCTGGAGGCAGAAGCTGGAGCACAGGCCATGGAGGAATGCTGCTTACTGGCTTGCTCCCCTGGCCCCTTCTCAGCCTGCTTTCTTATGCAACACAGGCCCACCTGCCCAGGGGTGGCACCACCCACAGTGGGCTGGGCCCTCACGTTCCTCAACAATCAAGAAGATGCCCAAAAGACATGGCCACAGGCCAGTCCAATGAAGGCAAGTCCCCAACTGGGGCTCCCTCAACCCAGGTGTGTCAAGTTGACACTAAAGCTATCCAGCACAATTGACCCCTTGTCAACTTGACACACAAACACATCACTATTAAACCATAACCTTTCCAATTCTTAGCCCCAAGATATGATGTTAACATTAATAGCACAACATAAGACAGTACAACCTTTAAAAGTCCCATTGTCCTTAAAAAAATCCAAACACTTAAAAGCCCACAGTCTCTTTTAAAAGTCTCTTAACTGGGCCAGGTGTGGTGGCCAACGCCTTTAATCCCAGCACTCGGAAGGCAGAGGCAGGCGGATCTCTGTGAGTTCAAGGCCAGCCTGGTCTACATAGTGAGTTCCAGGACAGCTGGGGCTGTCTCAAAAAGACAGAAAAAAAAAAAATCTCTTAACTGGGGACTCCTATAAAATCCAAAAACAAGTACTGTCTTATTTCAAAGGGAAGAATTGGGCACACCTAAGCAAAACCGAAGTCCAGCAAAGTAGCTCAAGGCTGGATATCTGGGATTCACTCATGATCTGGGATCCAAAGGGTCTGGCAGCTCCACTTCTTTGACCCTGCCGTCTGCAGCACACACAGCTCGTCTCGCAGATGAGGCCAGCTCCATTCCACACCTACTGCTGTCCTTGGTGGTCATCCCATGGTCCTGGCATTGCCAAAAAGCTAGGGTCTCCACTGAAACTAAGGCTGCTCTTGTAGAGGACCTGGGTTCAATTCCCAGCACCCACATGATGGCTAACAACTGTCTGTAACTCTAGTTTCAGGGGATCTGATGCTCTCTTTGACCTCTGCAGGCATTGCATGACATGGATGCACTTGCATGCAGGAGATACACACATACACATAAAATAATTTTTTAAAAAAACTAAGCAAATAAAAGAACAAAATGTTCCAAAAGAAAATAGCAAGTTTCCATGTACTATAACAATATATTTTACACTGATAAAAAAATTAATAAATCCAGAAGATGGAAAAAGAAAAAACCCACAACCATACTACAGAGTTCCTCAAACTTATATGCCTAAGAATTGCCTAGGGGGCCCATTAAATGCATTTGGATTTATACACACACACACACACACACACACACACACACACACACTACACACAATTTCTTCCCTTTTTTGCAATTCTGGGTATCAAACCCAGGGCCTTGCACATGAGGCAAATACTCTACACTGAGCCACATCCCCTAGTCTTCACCATACTTTGGAAAAGCAAAAGTACCTCATGGCTCAGCTATGGATGGAATATGTAATACAAGCTATGAATAGTGATTAATATTATGAAATATATTGGTAGGACAGGAAGGTGGTTCACATACATGTGTATGATGGGGGGAAGGGAGGAAGCAAAATGAAATCCTCTTCAGATGAGAGTTAATGCCTGTGCTGGATAGCTTTAGTGTCAAGTGGACACACCTGGGTTGAGGGATCCTCAATTGGGGAATTGCCTCCATAAGACTGTCCTGTGGCCCTGATGAAATGTGACCTGGGAGATATAAGCCAAATAAACCCTTTCCTCCCCAAGTTGGTATTGGTCAGAGTGTTTTGTCACAGCAATGGAGAAATAAACCAGATCAGAAATTGGTACCAGAGAGAGGGGCACTGCTGTGACAGACCTGACGTTGGAGGATTGTTCTCAGACCTCCACATATGCACCACGGCACATGCATATACACATGCATGTGTGCATGTACATATACATATATAGTAAGTATAATTTTAAAAATTCTACTTCACAGCCAGGTGTAATAGCCAATACCTCTAATCCCAGTACTGGGGAGGCTGAGGCAGGAGGATCACCACAAGTTCAAAGCCAGTTGTGTCTCCCAGCAGTCAAGGGTGTGGGCTCAGATGCCACATAGGGAGAGGTGATCGCAAGAGTCTCACCATGGGTGGCTCTCACACCATCCTTACTAGACAAGGTGCGGTGGGAACTGCACAGGTGAGGCAGCAGCAGGAACTAGTGTTTTTCTCATCTGCTTTGGTAGAAATTTCTATCTGGGAGCAAGTTATCACTGGGCCAGGTTCCTCAGAACCCGCTAGTCCTGTGCATTTGGAGGCCAAGGCACAATGGAAGGTAAAAAGTCCTTCAAGGTCATTCAACATGCTTCTGTATGTGGGGTAGCAGTGGGGACATGATGCTCCCTTGCCACCCTTGCAGTAACAGTGCCTGAGCTCAGTGCAGGAGGGGCAGCAGGAACCACACTGGAACCTGCCCTCAGCCCTGGCACTACAGCAAATTCACACAACTGGCTATACCTTGGTTTCAGAGAACAAGTTCCCTGATCTGGTATTTCCCATTCTTCCCCAATGCTTGTTCCCTACACTGCAGAGTATCTAGTGGGCTTGGGTCAGTCACTCTGCCAGCCCAAGTTGGATTCCACAAAGTAGATAACCCCCACACACACCCCAAGCCAGTGAAGTGGAATACCTGCGGCATCCTGGAGATGGGTATATTCAGGGGGTTCAAACTCCTAGAGTGATCTAAGAGCAGTCTAAATTCAGTGTCTCCCTTCTCAAACTGTCTCCTGATTCCAGCATCCAGTGCTTGCTGGGAGATGACAGTAAGGGCCTTTTCAAAGTCAGGCGACTGTGCTAAGTGCCCTAGATGGACTGGACTGACACGCTCCAGTTGCTATGACTGCATCCACGTTGACTCTCTCACTAAGACTCCCTGTCCCCCGGCTCAGAATCGAGATGGTAGGTGCTGGGGTTTTTTTCTTTCTATACTGTTGTTTCAGATCACCAGATCTAACGAAGTTTCAGTCTCTGGATGAATCCAGTGTTCAATGATCACTCCCCTCAGAAAGCAGTAATATACCTAGTATTTGTCTTTGTGAAGGAAGTGAGGGCTGTGCACCTCTGGTCAGCCATTTTGCTCTGGTGTTTGAGTGGTGTGTGTTATGAAAGAGTTAAGAGTGATTAGTACAGGTAGAAGCCAGAAAAACTCAAGAGGTCATGATGGTAGATAGATGATAGATGATGATAGATAGATAGATGATAGATAGATAGATAGATAGATAGATAGATAGATAGATAGACAGATAGATGATAGATAGATGATAGATAGATAGATAGATAGATAGATAGATAGATAGATAGATAGATAGATAGACAGATAGATGATAGATAGGTAGGCAGGCAGGCAGATGGTACTACCTTAAGCCTATGAGACTTCTTTGTGTGTAATGCAGTGTGCAGGCAGAAAACAATGGTTTAGATTTCCTTTTAAATACAGTGCTAATTATTGTTGGAAATAACTGATTGATACTCTTTCTTTAGGAGTCTTTAACAGACAAGCTGACAGGGAAAATTAAAAACCAGGTGAGGAATGGGATTAATAAAATTCAGTTTTCATTTACTTATTACATTTCAATTTGTGGGGATTTTCTATTCTTAATCCAGATTTGAGCAAAATTTTAATACAGTAAATGAACATTAAATATGGCTGCTTACTTATATCGTCTGCCTTATCTGTGGTTTGGCTCTCCTTGGTTTTAGTTACTTACAGTCAGCCACTCTGGCATACAGCATAGCACTGAAAGGTATTTTGATTGGGCCTGTGAGATGGCTCAGTGGGTAAAAAGCCTGATGATCTGAATTCTATTCCCGGGACCTACATGGTTGAAGGAGAGCATCAATGCCCATAAATTGTCTCTGACCACATGCACACTCTGGCATGTGTGCCCACACATAACACACACACACACACACACACACACACACACACACACACACAAAAATAAAAATAAATAAATAAATAAATGTAATAAAATATTTTAAAAGATATTTTGAGACCATAGCCACATATTACAGTGTATTGTAATTGTTATATCTTATTATAATTCTTACTTTGCCAAATTTATAAACTTTGTCCTGGGTATGTATGCAGAGGAAAAAGCAGTACACATAGGACTCAGTACATCCCCCATTTCAGGCATCCATAGGGGTCTTGGAATACATACCACTCTGATAAGGGGGACTTCTGCACACCCATTTCTATTCAGTATTTCACATCTGGAAGATAAGCAATAATTTACCTAAAGGCTATGGTCATTTTCTGCATGGATGGGGGACTCTCCCCAAGGAGCAGTAATGTTATTAATCCAAATGACTGAAGTTTTCAAGTGGGTAAATAATTGCTGCATGAACTCTTCAGAGAATTTAAAATGTTTAGTAGGGATTCTGTAACTTAATATACCTTTGAAATTCCATCCATATACAAATAAATGCATCGTTTCTAGCCAGATACAGCTCAATTCACTTTTCAGCACTTTTAAGTCATGATGATATTTTATTTGGGAATTATAAACAGAATCCAGTTCATAACTTCTGCTAGTAACATACACTTTGAATGCTGAAAGAAGCAACAAATTTCTTGCAGAATGCACTGTAAGAGAAAGCTGTGGTATTAAAGCAACAAGAAAATTGCATTTTAGAATCTATTTTACTATAGTAGCTGGCACTGGCATTAAGCTTTAAGTATGAACAACATGACTGCCTCCCCATCATGTCAAATAACATTTATATATTGATAATCTGATAACACATTCTATACACTAGAAGTGGCTATTCTGACAACAAGAAAGGTGTGCTTTTCCTTATGGAAAATGGAAATAAATACTTTTAGGGACACTTTTTTTTTTTTCAACCTAACAACTGGTTTTCTCCCAATAACAATTCTACTTATTTTCTAGAACCTTTTTTTCTTTAAGTAATGATACCTAATAATCACAATTATTCCCAGAAAAAAACAATTACTATGGCCCGTATTATTATATTAGGGTGATAGTGTCCTTTATCTTTATCTTTTTAATATTTTCTGTCATCATGATCTCAATCATCTGAAGGAGAGCTCATTATTGTTTGTCTTAAAATATTTAATGTTAATTTTGCTAGACAGTTGTTTTAATCTACTTTAGTCTAATTCAAAGGATGTAAAGTTGATGTATGATATACAGAGTGATACAAAGTTTAGGTTTTCAGATCCAGACCTCTTTGACTCATCAAGCTGCAGGCATTCATATAAACTTGAAATGAAGGTATTTAAGTGGAATACAAATAATTCTGACTTGCAAACTAGGGAGACGTCTTGAGTTTGGCCTCACAAGCTAGAGAAAGGGGTGAAAGGTGAAAGCAGCTTTCCTTAGCCACTGCCGACCTGACCACGGGCTGTATCTTACTTCCTTTCACTCTCCCAGAGCCACTGTTAGAGCTGGGTGCCATCCATGCTGCTGCGAATAGTATAAGCAAGCATGTGAATAAGCCAGGGGTGGTAACACAAATCTAGAATCCCAGCACTGAGGAGGTGAAAGCAGGAGGATCTGGAGTTCAAAGTCATACTCAATTATATAATGAGTTCAAGTTCAGCCTGGGCTACATGAAATCTTGTCTCAAACAAATGAAAAACAGTGAAGACATCATATATGTAATCAGCAGTGGGCATGTCTTCATAGGTTCCTTAAACTGAAAGAATATGGGGGTCAGAGGGAGAGTCCAAGGCCACATATTACTCAGCTTTGAAGGCAAAATAGGAATGGTTCACATTCAGCATCTCCAAAACAGACAGATGAAAGCAGGCAAGGAAATATTACTATGTCTATAGAGAATGAGGAGCTATAGATCACTGTGTGTCTGTAAATTTCCCCAATTATCACCAGAGTGGCCAACTGCTCTACAAAGCTGTCCTGGTAGTCAGCATACTATGTTAGGAGACAGCAAGGCCAACTTCCCTTCAACTTCATTTCTCACTGTGTTCATGTGAATTTTACTCATTTGTATTAATTTACTGAAATGTTACTAGCAGCTCATACCAGCAGAACAATACCCTCAGCATTTAGCAGGTGATCTAACTGTACAGAAGTTATAAGCTGCATATAAACCTTCTCTTGGCCCTTCCTCACAGGCATCATGCATGGTATAGCCAAATAACAACACTGCCCTTTATAGTACATACACATTAAAACATTTAAGAATTATATAAGGTAGAACCACAAAGATTTCCTAAATGTAAGTTTGAGAAATACATGCAGCGTGAACCCAGTGAAGCATAGACCCCACAGGATACAGAATCTTAATCTGTTTATATTTCCTGTAGGATAGTAACACATCTGCCTTTTCCTACTCAGAGGCAAAATATTTTCAAAATTGCAGATATTGCCCACTGCATTAAATTTAAATTAAAATGTTCCCTATGTATATAAACTGCAAAAGTAAGCAAAACAACTTCCAACACATTCCATTTATATCAAAACCGTTTCCAAGGCAACATTATTAAATGGTTCTGACACAGTTCCTCACATAATGTGGAGCTCCAGGGGAAGGTTCAGAGGGCAGGCAGCTCTATCCAGCCAGGGTCTAGCTGCCTTTCTTTTCTTCACCCAGTAAATTCACTGTAGCTTTCTTGACTGTTGGGAGAAAAAATTGCATCACAAGTTTTTATAAATCAAGCTTCATGCTCCCATGGCCGTCAGATAACAAGTGGGTGACTCATGTGCACAGGAGTGAACACTGAAGCTGTGGTCAGGGCTGAGAGGGCTTCCAGGAAATGGACAAGGCATCTCTTCAGAGCTCAGATCCTCAAGATGTCAGAAGAATTCTTGAAGATCACCTAGCCTTACCTCATTTTCTCTTACTGGTCAACTAAACTATCTGTCCTCTGTCCTCTAATGATCAAAGTAACAGAAATTCTCATGGTGACAAGAGTCAGAAAAAGGCCCCATACCAGCACTACTTAGACTCTCACTGCACCACTACCCTCAAGATGGGAAGTGGTTTGGAATATATTCTCAGACCCTTTGTGGCATGTGAGATGGAGGGTGGGGCAGAGATGACTGGAAACCACCAGCGAGATTTTACAGATGGTAGCTAGCTGCTTGTGAGAGAACTTAGAGGCTCCTGAGGAGAATCAAGGAGTCCCTCTCTGTCTACAAGCTGCTTGACAGATGCTCTCCCTTTTCTCAGTTAAAGTTACCAAGCAGATAAACAGCAAAGGTCAGGCTTGGTGGTGCCAGCCTTTAATTCCAATGCTCAAGAGGCAGAGGCCAGCCTGGTCTATGTAGCAAGTTCCAGACCAGCTAAGGTTACATAGGGAGACCTCATCTCAATAAAAAAGAAAGAGGGGGAAACAAGGGGAGGGGGGAAGAGGGGGAGAAGGAGGGAAGAAAGAAAAGAAAAATTTAACAATGAAGAAGAAATTACAGCCCTTCTTTCTCAACTAGCCCTGTGTAAAAAATTCCTAGTGAATCTAAAAACCTCTGAGAAAAGTCTATCATGGCATGGTGATGCAGGCCTTTAATCCCAGCACTCGGGAGACAGAGGTAGGTAGATCTTTGAGTTCAAGGCCAGCCTGGTCTACAAAGTGAGTTCCAGGTTAGCTGGGGCTATAGGGAGACCCTGTCTCAGAAAAAAAACAAAAAAAAAAAACACACAACCGGAGTGTATCATATCAAATAAAATAAATAAAATTAGGTATCAGAGTACTGATATGAACAAGAACAAAGAAGCTGTAAAATATGGGCAAACGAGTCAAAATGGCATCACCAGAGGTTGCTAATTAGGCTGAGGACAAGGGAAAACAGTAAAGGACCTCTTAAAAAGAAACTGCTAATCCTAAAGAGAACAAAAAGGCTACAAGTTAGAACATACTTAGAGTTGCAGAAACATAAACTGGAACATACTGTATGCCCTTGGGAGAGATGGGGGAATGTCCTTCTAGACCTGTAGGCATGTCCAACCTCTAGCCTGCAGGTCATGTGCATCTCAGGATAGCTAAGGATGCAGCCAACACATCTAAGAGAACAGCAACATGGCAGAAGGCTGGCCACCCCACTCAGACATCAGTGCTATGGAATACTGTCTGGGTAAGACCTGGCTTCCCTAGTGCTCAGTCCACCTCTTTCGCCTTTTACCACAGAGCTCTTCAAATATCTGCTACAGGAGGGACTGGAGAGATGGCTCAGCAGTTAAGAGCATTGACTGTTCTTACAGAGGACCTGGGTTCAATTCCCAGCACCCACATGGCAGCTAACAACCATCCATAACTCCAATTCCAGGGGCTCTGATGCCTTCTTCTGACCTCCTCAGGTAATGCATGACATGGATGCACTTACACACATACAGGCAATAAATACATACACATAAAAAAATAAAATGAAAATCTGCTACAGGGGCTGGAGAGATGGCTCAGTGGCTGCTCTTGCAGAAGACAGAGGTTCAAATTCTAGCACCCACATGGTGGCTAACAACCATCTGTAACTGTAGTTCCAGGAGATCTGATGCCCTCTTCTGACCTCCTCAGATATTGCATGACATGTGTGCACTTACATGCATGCAGGCTATACACTCATACACATAACATAAAAAATAATAAATTAAAAGATAAAAAATTTTGGAAAAAAATAAAATATTTTAAAAAATCTGCTACATGATATGTGGATCCTAGCACCAAATCCTTTAAAATTCCAGGTCCTTTTAATAAGATGATGCTATACAGCAGCCCCTTCAGCATGAAATAACTACCATCATCACGACTTCAGCTGAGCCTGATCACTAAACATCATCACAATTGGGCTTGTTGACAGTTGTGCTCATTCATTAAAGGAGGGTCAAGCAGGGTCAATGGCCCCTCCCCAGAGTATCCAGCCACTCTTCCCAGCCAACTGTATGTAATTTGACCCTAATC